AACTGATCAAAGAGAATAATACGATCTTCATTAATCCAACCGCTGGACCGGCTGAGCCGGGCTCGCGTCCATGCTCATGCGCTCATTCTGATTGGCGAGCGAGGGTTCACCTAGGGTCGGGTCCTCTGGCCATGGTTCTTGTCTACGTACATTATGCTCATCCTCTTCCATAAGCGCATCCTCATTAGTTGTTACGGGGCTGGGGTTTTGAGGGTGTGCTAGTTGGGATCTCTAGGGTCTGTCATCTGGTAACACTATCGCTCGGTGATTGATCGGGTTCAAGCCAGCACTAGGTTGAACTTGGACCACTGGGCCCTGAGAGGAAATCTGGGCGACTGTCTCATCCCGACCCACAGAGAATTCCATAGGTGTGATCGACTCAACCGCTCTAGAATGGGCCACCTCCTTCCCTTTAGTAGTAGTTGTTTGTTGAAAATAGTATACGCTAGACTATTTTTAAACTAACTGCCGTTTATAAAATTTACCTTAATATTTCAACTTTACCATAATTTATTTAGAAATCAAAATAATATATTGTAGTAAAGTGTGTAAGTAAGAGGAGAGATTGAAGTATTTTTGTAAGTATTTTTATTAATAATTTTTGAATATATCAACTTTTCACGTTCCGTAATTTAAAATTGGAACTCAAATGAAAACGATTTTATACCGGGTGAATAAAAGCATAAAAATCATATATTAAACTGTTACATATCATAAATATAAAATAAAAGATAAATATTAATATTTTTATACAAATCAATAATCCTTCATTAATTTAATTTACCATTATTGTTTTGTGAATCGCACGAGTTACGTACTAGTTAAGGTATAAGTACAGAGTTGTCAGCAGATAAATGTACGTGGTTCTTATCACAAATGAAGATCCCATTTTTAATTGCATATTCTCCAATATTCTCTTCCAACAAGTTGCATCTGACATTGTCTACCAGCCTTGGTGACATTTCTGTCTAGTTTCTCAGGAAAAATTATGAGAAACGATGATGAAAAAAAAGTCTTTTACATCAACAGGTCAGGCAAATTGCTGAAGAGTAGGCAAAATTTCAATAACTCCGTTTTATATCTTTATATATATATCGACTTATGTCATTACCGCACAGATTCATTTTATTGAACACGTTCGCAATAACTTATGTCAAGAGATCCATAGTGTCACAAGAAAATAAACACCGGTGAACTATATACAAGTATATAACTTAAGTCAAAGACACCTATAGCCGAGGAAAACAAAGACAACTATAACAGTATAACAATGACAAACAGGTTCTTTTTTGTTTTTCAAGGACACTAATACAACAAGAGATACTCTATTTTACCACGAGCATGTAGCTCAGTAGTATCCATTACTATTTGAAAGAGCATTCACTTTGATCCGAACCTAATAGCATATAAGAAAGGATACTCCAGTTTCTCTATCTTGCAAACTTTTTACAGTTACCACCGACTCAAATAAAGGAAAAAGAAATACCTAGAAAATTTGAAGCTATAAACCTTGGTGGGGCCAACACCTCATCTGCATTGAAGAAAATATTATGTGTCGTAACAAACGTATGAAGATGGATTTGCTCGACCACTGCAAAAAATAAGCATAACAAAGATTTTGATTACGAAGGTGTTTTAGTTATTATTTCACAGTTCAAGCCTGAACAAAGATATTCTACACCCATATATATGATCATCTGAACGCATGCAATTAAATGCTTTGTACTTAGAGTGGGGTGGATAACTTACCTTAAGCACACATAACAGGATACAAAAAATACAGAAGTCGAGAAACACAAGTACTGATAACAGACAAGCAAATCAAAGTTTATATCAGTTCATGTTCTATTTTGTTATAATTTTTCATATATCTTGCTCCAATTTCTTTTTCTTTCTTTTTTTTCCCTTTTTTATAGTTCATCACCAGATAACGATATTGTTATAAAGTATAAACCTTAATACCAACTCTCAAAAGCAAGAAAGTTGTAGGTAGCAAGTGCGAGCCAGCAACACAAAGACAAAATACATCACTTATGAAGTTTTTTTTTTTTTTTTTTTTTCGAATCACTTATGAAGTTAGGCTATACGTGAGAATGGAGAATCAAAGCAAAAGTAGAACAACTTTATTTTCCTCACTCAACAGTTTAGAGAAGTTAAAAAATGCATTACTTTTTGTTAAAACTGAACTTTTGAATCACTGGAAATCAAGCAACTATGATAAAAGCTCTTGGAATGAAATAAACTAAAAAAAAAAAAAAAGACAAAATTTCCTCAGTTGAAATACTGCATAATAGCAAAAAATAATGTCCCATAATGCACTATACATGAGGAAATATTTTTTCTCATAAAAATGAAGATATCTAATTACTCAAGGGCTTCTTATGTAGGAAAAAAAGAGTTAATGATGTTATAATAATTGCTTTATTTTTCTTCATCACCAATCTCAAGGAGTCTTCCTTGTATACTATTGATTCAACAGATATTGTCACCATCCTATCGCCGGTGAGAATTATTTTTAAGAAAGTCGCCATCTTAAGCTGCTCAAAAGAGTCAATTGTTTCTCCGAGAGCCCAACATTCAAGGACATCACATAAGATATAAGCTGACCACAATATATTCAGATATGGACTACAGGAATGGAGAAGTTGGAATAACAATAAGATATAGACCAGGTGTTTGGACTATTTAACAGGACCAGCAAACAATCCTCATGTAACATTAACTCTTTAATTCGTTACTCTGAATATACAGTCCATATTCTCTTTGTCTCAGTTTAACAATTAACATTGATTTATAACTACAACAAAATCTATACAGGCATGCACACAATAAATATCCTTTTGCTAAAAAAGAGGGCCTCTATCAATTGGGAAGGATAGTATAACTTCTGGGATTGTCATAATTGGAAAACAAATAGTACCGATCAGTATCCTTGATAGTAGAATATGACGGATAAAAAAAAATAAAAAAATAAAAAAATAA